TTTTTTTTTTTTTTTTTTTTTTTTTTTTTTTTTTTTTTTGAGTGCTTTTTAGTGCATAATTTTTAAGCACAAAATTTTAAAAATGTTGCAATTTAAGCAAACCAGGATTCAGGCTGATCTGTGCAGCAAAGCACTAGACTGCCACTGTGCAATTCAAATCTTAGCACCGGTTGGCAGGATAGCTTTTTTGCAAATTAATTTTCGCAAAAAGCTGGCAGGATCGCCATGTATCGAATGAAACAATTCATTTATGTTTTTATTGTATTGAATTTATTTTACTGAGCAACTCAATGTCGCTTTGTAGGTTATTTTACAATTGAATTCTTAGCCTAACATATTGGGGTATTTATGGGAAATAATTGCTGCATAAGCATAAATAATATTATAAATAAATTGAAGCTTAAAGTTAGTTTGTTTGACGGTTTGGCACGTGTGCCTGACAATGCGTGAGTTCTATATTCAAAATATTCAAACAACTGAAATATGAAACCCTTGTTGTTATGAATAAATTAAATAATTATAAACGTTAAGCATGGTCGACTTCAGTTACACTACAACCCATGCATGCTATTTTAAAAATGCAATGTGGAAGCAGACACGAGTGGTGTTTAATGCGCAACGGAGTGGTTAGAATTCTTTCATTTAATGCCTTGTTTTTTTAACACAAATGAGAAAAAAGGTTACGTTTTACTTCAAAATTAACTTCTGTTTTAAGAAGTTTAATGGAATTTATTTTTTTAGATGTATATACATTTTTTGCAATGCGTACGTTTTTTAGTTTTTTATTTTGTATTCGCTGACTCTATATTTCACTCAATTACCCTTAAAAAAAAAAAAAATTAAGAGAGTGTTTAAGGAGTGAAAATTTTGTATGAAAATTTGCATAAAGTTGGGAACTAAAAATTTTTGGAGTTTTTGTTGTATTATTAGCCCTAATTTTGCATCAGTTGAGCAAAAATGGACCAATACAATATACATAGTTACTATGAAAAAAATGGTTAATAACGAATTAGGTATTATTATTGGGAGCCTCCTGAAGAAAAACAGAGTTTTTCGATCGAAAACTATTGATTTTCATGAATTCTATACCATTTTTATGAAAAGTTGTTTTTCCCATGTAAAATACATTGAAAACTTTAAGCGCTTTGAGCGACCACTAAATATTTTTTGATTTAAAATAGAAGTTGGGGTATATTTTTTCGGTATAGAACAATCCTAGGGGGTGAGAGCATTAAAATTCCGACTATACTTTTTCACATACATTTTTGGGGCCACCCTAATGTAAGAACTTGTTTTTTTTCATCCGAAAGCGTTTTACGTATAATGGATATATACAGCGCGGGATTTCTGTTATAACTTTAGCATAAAACGGGATTTTGGTTATATTTTATTAACTGGCAGCACTGTGTGGAAGACAACCGCCACACCTTCGGTGAAAAAGGTTCTAAACAATCACGGAATTATTTTTTCAAACTTACATATAACTTAGGGCTGCCAGATATCTCTGTTGCCAAACCGGGACACTTTAGGGAGGGCCTCTCGCTCCCTTCTCTTTCATTTCGACGTGCGAAAGGATGTAGGGAAATTTTATTTTGACAGACAAAAACAAAAACATAAAAACATAAGATCATGAGATCATTACAACGTACGCCAACAAAACAAAACAACTTATCACAACTAAAGCACAGAGAATTTTTTACAATGCATGAACCTTTTTTATTCTTTATAAAAATACAGTTTATACTAAATATATGAAAAAACATAAAAATAAAATTGTTAAACTTAGTGCTAAACTCGGGAAAATTCAATAAACTTGCATACAAATTTGCAACATTCTAATCAGACTTTTGATAAAAATGTTTAAAATGAAGTTTTGCAGCCCATTAAATTTTAGTTGATTTTTGGTATTGTTTTTCCTGAGAGTTTCTTCCATACAAACTATATGTGATAATTCTTTTTATATGGAAGACACTGTCAGCAAAAAAAATAAATGCTAAAAATCAACGAAATTTGCTGGCAACTTCAGACTTGCACTTTATTAATTGGCTCAAAAGCTACATTTAAAAAATTTTTCTAAAAGATCTGATTAGAAA